GTTATTCTTCGCCATGAAAATGCTGGAATATTGCTTAAAGCGACATAATCACTCACTTTATAGAAACGTGTTATCCTTGGGTGCCCCTCGCAGTGACATTGCTAACAATGCTATAGGCGGCGCAAACTATACTCACTCACTCACTCACATATGGGGGTCATAGATGTCCCATTTGTCTAACACAACGCAATTCCCTTACATTTGCCAGAAATTAATTACCTTTGATTTGATTTCGCCATGATTATCAGAGCCATGTTCTTAGCGAACGTCGGGCATTCAAGCTGACACGCATTGAAATAACTAACCTACTGTTCAAACTCATCTCACTCATTCACTCATTCTCTTCAGGTGTGGACCCATTTTGGTCACATTCGACTATCCAGTGAAGGACATTACCTTCCGAACCACCACCGACAGCTTCCTGGAGAATTTCTTTGGAACTGGGAGACCCGACCGGAAGTTCCACCTCGGCCACGGCTACAAGCGAGGGACAGACAAAACATGGCGCCCGCTGGACGCTGCCCATCTACACGTCAACCAGGGCGACCGGGTCAGGACTGGGAAAACAACTACAACGCCGGCGTCGGCTACGGCTACTTCTACATGGAAACTGGGAAAACATCCATCCAGCCGCCGGATTGGGAACCGAAGCAGATTTCAAGATCACTCTCCCGCCAGCTCCGTTAAAACCAGCTGTAGAGTTTGAGATCACGGAGGCGAAGTCGCACATTGTGCAGTGGAAGGTGCCGGAGTCGTCCACGCCGCAGTTTCGGTACACCGTGGAACTGAACGGACAGCAGCTGATAGACGAGATTGAACCGGAAGTACGGTCTTTCCCACTGAGCGTCAGTAACCCTGGTCAAGAGGTCAAGGTCACCATTGAAGATCTCCTTGGTAACGTTGTGACTAAAACTGCCAAGATAGTCGACTGAAGTCACTTTATTTTGTCCAAGAAAATATCAGTTTGGATAACCAACGTAAAACTATATGACATTATTCAAAAGTTTTACCTAATCAGAAGGTACATTTCAAATCCAGCAGTATAAAACACAATCTGATTTGGATCTCTCTTACTTATTTATCTATGACAAGAACAAAATTCAATATAAAGCATAAAACATACCAGTTGTAAATGCATATATCCGTAGCCATGGTAAAAAGTGTGAAGCAGTTCTTTGCAAAGTAAAATGTTTCATTGTCGTCAGCGTTTAAAGTTCCCGCCTGCCCGACCGTCGGAACGGTCTATTTTCATCTTGGACGGTCAAATTTCAAAGTAGCCTGTCCGGTGGTCTGGTAGATATTTTACCCCTAACAGTAAATATTTCATATCAGACAGGTTCTCTTGTCGTCAGTTTGAGGTGTTTACGGTATTATGATGATTATGTGAAACTACTTACGATTGGACAGTTCATGTTACGATAACCAATCACAACACGTGTACTTTCAGTTTACCTAAACTCGGTGCATTGCCTGTTAGTGCTATGTAGTTCATTCCGATGCCTACAATCAGTAGCCTGATTAACCTGATTTTGTTTGTTTTATTGTTGAAAACCGGACAGGCAAGTTTGTATCGGACTGGTAATTTTTAAAGTTACCATTCCGGCTGTCTAACGGAATTTTGGGAGTTTTAAACAATGCTGTCGTGCCCTTTCACAAACGAATCAAAGGTCAGAATGTATGCTCTGCTCTGTTCTGCTCTGTTCAGTTAGGTACGGTTCGGTTCGGTTCGGTTCTATAATACAGCATCGGTAAAACCACTTTGTAGTATATCATGTTCAGAGACATAAAAAGTATAACCTAAAACGACTGACAACAAATCAAATATACGCTCTTTAAGATTTGTTTCTTCTGTAGCTTGTTCTTTAGCACTTGGGAAGTGGTAAAATAGTTTGAAATCTGACTTCTTTAATGAACAAATTACCAAATATCACAAGGGAACCACCGCCTGTATTCTCGTAACAGAAATTTCATATTGTCAAATATATTTGGTTAAGTATTCTGAATCAAGTACAGTTGCTTGGTTATTATGTTCAGCTTATTTCAAGCTGTTGTCATATTCGAAGACAACTATTATTCGACTCATATAGTTGTAGCTCAGTGAGAGTTCTATATTTTCTATGTATTTGTTATGGCGTTATGTACTTCATATTTCATGATGAGGCAAAACATACTATACCGGTTAGATCATAGAAGTCTGATATTTCTCTGTATCTCAATCAGGCGCCATCAATGATTTTAATAGCTTGTAATATCAATCGCTTGCCAGGATACATTAAACTATATTCTAATCGCCATATCCTTCAAAACTTTATTTTTGGAAATATAATTCCCGAAGCTCAGAGAGTAAATTCTTAAACTTCTTTTGATATTCATGCTATAGTTTGGCCTTGAAATTCCAAAAGATTCCAAAACCGTTTGACCATACCAACTCGGAACTTCTGACTATGGCTTAAGACAGCTTTTGTTAAACGTTCTATGAACATGTATGTCAAAATAAAAATGAACAAATTTAATTTCGAGTTGATGTTGGTGATTTTAAACTTTGTGTGTTTCTTTTATTTGTATGAACAGATTTATTTTAACATTTGTGTAATTATTGAGGCAATTGTGTGCTTCAAACAGCAATCTCAGATTTATGTGCGGTATTCAGCCATTAAGGCGTGTTAGGCATTAGATACTCTCGCAGCTATCCATTGTATTGCATGGGTTTCACTGGACATGTACTTTGAAATGTATTAAAAGCATCTATCCATTTACACTGACATTTTGGGTTCCTTTTATAACAATATCTTGATTCAAACCTTTGGGTTAAAGAGGCAGGTGCTACTTTTGTCCTTTTGATACAGCACATATAGATACACGAACCCAAGGCTATAGAAAAACTGCTCTACAAAGAGGCAGGCTGCCTGGTCCATTATCTCCTCGGCGTACGGGTAGTAGGATGTCCGGACCCCATCCACTTGAGTAGATTGAAGTCCTTGGCGATCAGCGCATAGTCCTGGCCTTTACCTATTATCTACATAAAAGAGTGAGCGAGTGAGATTACTTTTACGTCGCACTCAGCAATATTCCAGCCATATGGCGGCGGTCTGTAAATAATCGAGTCTGGACCAGTCAATCCATTGATCAACAGCATGAACATCGATCTACGCAAATGGGATACGATGACATGTGTCAACCCAGTCAGCGAGTCTGACCACCCGATCCCGTTAGTCGCCTCTTCCGACAAGTATGGGTTACTAAAGATCAATTCTAACCCGTACATTCACGGATTTACGCGCATGAAAAATATAATGTGAATGATGTTACAAAGGGCAGATTATACTCATGACATAGTAAATCGATATTGTAAAACCGACCTGCTTTGAGCAGAGATTTCTCAAGGATGTGAAAAGGGGGTTTTATAGTTTCTATCCAGTATGTAAAGAGGAAGGCTGGACTTGTTTATAACCGAATAGAGACATACTTCAAGCCTTACCTACAAGCATGCCAGCAACACAGCACACTGACCAAAGCTCCGTTTTCACAAGGTGCGACGGTAGCCTAGTGGTTAAAGCATTTGGTCGTCACGCTGAAGACCGGGTTCGATTCCCATATGGACACAATATGTGAAGCCCATTTCTTGTGTCCCCAGCCGTGATATTGCTGAAATATTGCTAAAAGCGGTGTAAAACTCACTCACTCAGTTGTCAAGTCAGTTGTCAAGAATGTATTTCCATATCTGCTTTACATGAGTAGGAACATTTGAAGCCTATTGTACGCAATACAACCGACCGGCATGCATGTCTTCAGTGATTATTAATGATTGCAGGTGCCAGAAAAACATTTTCATAATTTAACCCAAATAACTCGAACATGTGAGGTTCCAGGTTATATTTAGTCTTCAGTAGACCCATGTTTGTCGTAAGGCTCAACAAACTGGATTGGGTAGTCAGGCTCATTGGCTTTGTTGATTCTTGTAATTGTATCCCATCACTGGATTGTCTGTGGTAAACCTGATTTGTTTGTTTGGTTAACGCCGCACTCAGTAATGTTTCAGACAATCCATTGATCAACAGCATCGATCTAAGCATTTGGAATAAAATCATATGTAAACCAAGTCAGAGAGTCTGACCACCAGATCCGTTTCGTCAAGCATGGATTGCTGAACACCAATATTGAAGGGATGCGTTGCAAAAGGTCATATGTAACATTTTTTTAAAACAATCATATGTTGACATTTTCAAACAAAATTAAACACTTCAATATTATTCTATCCTCGATCTTCGACCGACCGCCACCGTGGTGTAGTGGTTAGAGCGTCCGCCCGGAGAGCGGTAAGGTCGCGGGTTCGATCCCCAACCGCGTCATACCAAAGACGTTAAAATATGGTACTTGTTGGTCCCTGCCTGGCGCTCGGCATTAATGGGTACAAGGACTGCTCGGCTCGGAGTCAGTATAACGTGTCTGAGTGGGGTATTCATGCTTCACTGCGGCATGGTATCTCAGTGGGCTAGCACTATAAAACCAGCTTAAGTCTGGGTTAGTACAAGCAGCCGCACATACACACACACGCATGCACGTCGTCATATGAGCGAAATATTCTCAAGCACGACGTTTAACCCAATTTCACCTCACCTCACCTCACCTCGATCTTCACAGGTTGTAAAACCTCCATTATTTACAGACCACTTTCATTTAGCTGCACTATTGCTTAGGTCAGCGTTAAACAACAAACACGTGTTATAGATAATGTCCACTCGTGAGTCAGGGTACGCCCACCTTTCGGCGAACACCGGGTGTCATTACTCTTTGATAATGATAAACATATGTTTAAGATATAGTCGGACTCGTACAAAGTTCTAATGAATGCAAGAATGGTTTTGTTGCGTATTTCTATACTCTCGACTCTAAAAAAATATATTAAAAATTAAATTAATTACACAATTAAACTAATTACAAACCTTTATGTAAAGTAACCACATGTAGTAAAAGAGACATTAACTTGTTAACACCCCGTCTTAGCTGTTGTGTACATTATGTTTTATTACAACAATTTGTTTACATCTGTGTTACTATGACAACGCGGTCGTCATTAGCCGACGATCGGTACAAGGGGTGAGGAGGACGTGGGACTGGTTTTATTCATCATGGTCAGATATCTGCTGCGCAGGGTAAATGCTGCGTGTTTAGGTTGTCGTTGCCTAGTCAACAGCCCTTTCTTGTTACCCACCACTCGTCTGACTCCTGAAACAATGTGACACATGAACACTCAGTATTAGCATTGAACGACCACGAGCATCAGGAGCTGCGGGCAAAAAGAAAGCATACATTCGATAATTGGATATGACCAATACGTACAAACATTATGAAAGCGTTATAGGCATTAAAGCAGTAGCCGAAATACTGCAAACCCATGGTAAAGATACAACTACGATCAAATCATCAAATACACTAGACGCCAAAAGAAACGTTACCCTCCTACCTTTATGAATTACTGAAAACCTATCAAAGTTATTTTAGAAGGTTTTAGTTTACAAGAAAGCTTAACAACACGGCTTTGTGCATATCACGAAAAAGACTTTCTCAAATGCATTCCTATTTGGGTGAAATGTATCTTTTTCAGAAGATTTAAATTGTCCTATATTCGTCCATGCCGAAATAAACCAATAATAGTGATTTTGATGTCCAAAATAAAATAAAATACTTCTTTGGGACAAAGATAAACCATTCAAAGTCACCATTTTCCAACTATTAAAACAAGAAATAACTGTAATAAAATAATCATTGCTATGATTTCAGTCTTTGAAAACATTTTCTGCTGATTTGCATTAGTGAAAACAAGTAAAACGTGTCTTTGATAAGAAATGTTTAGGAACATCTACAATTATCTTTGTTAACATTTTTGCTTGCAAAGTAACATTTTCCATTTCCATTTTACACATAGCAATATCAATCGCCCAAACGCAGCAATATTCAAACAGTATTTACATCCATTTCACATGCAGAATGATTCTATAGGGTATAAAGAGAGCCTGGAAGACAAGATCTGATACACAATTACGAGAAATATGCCACGATTAACAGCGGAAGAGAGAGAAAGAGCCATTGGGATGGTGCAGATGGGGTCGACATACAATGCTGTTGCCAACGCCTACAGATGCCACCGTATCACGGTCATAAGACTTATTCAGGGATTCAGACAGACTGGGATCCACGTATACAGACCAAGAAGTGGACGTCCACGCATCACAACGCCAGCGGAAGATAGGTATCTCCGTCATTAAGGAAGGAGGGTAACGTTTCTTTTGGCGTTTAGTGTTTGTTTTGGTCTGTGTTTTTTTGGTTCTTATTTATTTTTATTTGTTTTGTTTTGTTTTGTTTTGTTTTGTTGTTGTTGTGGGTTTTTTTTGGGGGGTAATTTCATTTTCGCTTTATTTGTTTGTTTTTTGGGGGTTGGGTTTTTGGGGGTTATTTGTTGTTGTTTTGTTTTGTTTGTTTGTTTGGGGTTGTTTTGGGGGGGAGGAGAGAGGTGGGTGTTATTTTAGTTACCATCAAACATGTTTGTACATTAAAGTTAAACTTTATACAATGTGCAGTGTAATTCATTCAAGCGTTCTAAACATTGTTCTTTTTGGTTACTAAAGAATATTAATCTTTATTTATGTGAGGTGTAGGTTTGAATAACATTTCACACCGTTTCATCTTGTTTGGAGTAGGTCCGTAATGACAGACACCTGTCACGTAGGTGAAACCCACGAATGTGGGAAATGGAGACGACAGACCGAAGAATCTGAGAGTCGAACATATGATCCACCAGTCTGTTCATTCTGACTCACTCTGTTCAGTGAGTCGCAGTACACCAATAAGAGAAGGTTCCCTGCTTCCGGGATATGCAACATTCGTTACTCGTGGCCTATGTTTACTCTGTTACTCTATTACATCTGTGTGGATGAAGGTTTGGTGCAGTGATGATTTATTACCTTGCACTGTCATGAAGTCTGCGAAGTTCCACACCATCTCACCAACCAGGTACTTGCCGATCTTGGCATCGAAGAGTTTGTGATATTCCTCCAGGAATTCCACCTGGTATTCTTCGGTGAATACAAAAGATGGATCCTAGTACGGAAACATGCAATAAGCGTGGTTACCTCGTGGATCGATACATACGTATATATAATGATACAGACAGATACATGCTGATGCGGACTAAAACGTACTTGCAAGTACTTATACACAATCATTAATACTGACGCATACTGGTGCATACACACTCACTCATGAAGATGGACACTGACAGGTGCTCATATTCACACATACTGATACATGTTATACATTTACTTATTTACTTATCTATACATTTCCTAACACAGTGATACATACTGATACATATTGATACATGAAGATACACACTGATACATGAAGATGCATACTGATACATGAAGATACATACTGATACATATTGATACATGAAGATGCACACTCATACATGAAGATGCATACTGATACATGAAGATGCATACTGATACATGAAGATACATACTGATACACACTGATACATGAAGATGCACAATGATACATGAAGATGCACACTGATACATGAAGAAACATACTGATACACACTGATACATGGACATGCATACTGATACACACTGATGCATGAACATGCATATAGATACATGAACATGCATACTGATACATGAAGATGCATACTGATACACACTGATGCATGGACATGTATACTGATACACACTGATGCATGAACATGCATATTGATACATGAACATGCATACTGATACACACTGATATGTGAAGACGAATACTAATACACACTGATGCATGAACATGCATATTGATACATGAACATGCATACTGATACACACTGATATGTGAAGACGAATACTAATACACACTGATGCATGAACATGCATACTGATACATGAAGATACATACTGATACACACTGATGCATGAACATTCATACTGATACACACTGATACATGAAGATGCATACTGATACACACTGATACATGAAGATGCATACTGATATACACTCATACATGAAGATGCACACTGATACATGATGATTCATACTGATACATGAAGATGCACACTGATACATACTGATACATGAAGATGCATACTGATACATGAAGATGCACACTGATACACACTGATGCATGAAGATGCATACTGATACATGAAGATGCATACTGATACATACTTATACATGAAGATGCACACTCATACATGAACATGCAAAAATACTGATACATGAAGATGGATTCTGATACATGAACATGCATACTGATACATAAAGATGCATACTGCTACATGAAGATGCATTCTGATACATAATCATGCATACTGATACATGAAGATGCATATTGATACATAATCATGCATACTGATACACACTGATACAGGAAGATGCATACTGATACACAAAGATGCATACTGATACACACGGATACATACTGACACATGAAGATGCATACTGATACACAAAGATGCATACTGATACACACGGATACATACTGACACATGAAGATGCATACTGATACACACTGGTACTTGAATATGCATACTGATACACACTGATACATAAAGATGCATACTGATACACACTGATACATAAAGATGCATGCTCCTATTCTGATTCACACTGGTACGCAGTCCGAGAGTAAAATGTCACACCAACCCGATGAAGCCCCGGTATAGTATCCGCCCCATATTCAGTGATGATGATGGGCTTCCGGTATTTGACCCTGGTGGCGTCAAGGTCGGTCCCCAGCTGCAGCTGTATCACCTCTGTGTGGCCGATGTCGTTGTACCAGCCGTAGTAACGATTGTAACAGATGACGTCCACAAACTGCAACTAAAGGTAGAAAAGGTTGTTGGTATAACGTCAAAAACACGCCTTAGTAGTAGCAGCAACAGTGCCCAACAGCAGTAGCAGCAGTAGTAGCAGTAGTAGCAGCAGCAGTAGTAGTAGTAGTAGTAGTAGCAGCAGTGCCCAGCAGCAGTAGCAGCAGCAGCAGTAGTAGTAGTAGTAGTAGTAGTAGCGGTAGTAGCAGTGCCCAGCAGCAGTAGCAGCAGCAGTAGTAGTAGTAGTAGTAGCAGCAGTGTCAAGCAGCAGCAGTAGTAGTAGCAGCAGTGCCCAGCAGTAGCAGCAGCAGCAGTAGTAGTAGTAGTAGTAGTAGTAGCGGTAGTAGCAGTGCCCAACAGCAGTAGCAGCAGCAGCAGTAGTAGTAGTAGTAGTAGCGGTAGCAGCAGTGCCCAACAGCAGTAGCAGCAGCAACAGTAGTAGTAGTAGTAGTAGCAGCAGTGCCCAACAGTAGTAGCAGCAGCAGCAGCAGTAGTAGTAGTAGTAGTAGTAGTAGCAGTAGCAGCAGTAGCAATGCCCAACAGCAGCAGTAGCAGCAGCAGTAGTAGAAATTGGTAGTAGTGGCAGCGGTGCTTAACAGCAGCGGTAGCAATGGCAGCAGCGGTAGTGATGAGTAGTGGCAGTGGCAGCGGTGCTTAACAGCAGCAGCAGCAGCAGTAGTAGTAGTGAAGTAGTAGTAGCGGTGCCTTAAAGCAGCAGCGAGCAGTAGTAGTAGTGGCAGCGGCGTGATAGTATTAGCAATGCGCAGCAACAGTAGCAGTAGCGGCAGCGGTAGTATTGAGTAGTAGTGGTAGCGGTGACCAAAGCAGCAGCGGTAGTGGTAGTGGTAGTGGAAGTGGTGGTGGCAGTGGCAGCGGTGCTTAACAGAGTAGCGGCAGCGGTACGGTGGTAGTGAGTAATATGTGGTAGCGGTGGCGGCGGCAGTAGTGGTAGTAGTAGTAGTAGCAGTGGCAGCGGCGGTGGCAGTGGTAGTGGTAGTGGTGGTAGTAGTAGTAGTGGTGGCAGTGGTAGTAGTAGCAGTGGCAGCAGTGGTAGTGGTAGTAGTGGTGGTGGTGAGTAGTAGCGGTAGTAAGCAGCGGCACCAGCGGCGGCACCAGCAACTGGTGGTAGTGGTACTGGTAGTGAGTGGCAGTGGCAGCGGTGGTCAGTGGTGGTGAGTGGAAAGTGGCAGCGGTGGTGGTGGTGGTGGTGGCGGTGGCAGCGGTGGTGGTGGTGGTGGTGGTGGCAGCGGTGGCGGTGGTAGTGGCGGTGGTAGTAGTAGCAGTGGCAGCGGTGGTGGTGGTAGTGGTATCGGTGGCAGCGGTGGTGGTGGTGGTGGTGGCGGTGGCAGCGGTGGTGAGTGGTGGTGGTGGCAGCGGTTAGCAGCACCAGTTCCAGCGGCGGTAATAGTGGTGGTAGTGGTAATAGTGGTGGCAGTGGCAGCAGTGGTGGTGGAAGCAGCTGGTGCTAACAGCAGCGGTGCCGGTAGTGGTAGTGAGTGGTGGTGTAGTGGTGGTGGTGGCTGCGGCGGCGGTGACCAGCACTAGCACCAGCAGTAGCGAGCGGCAGTGGTGGTGGTGGTGGTGGTGGTGGTGGTAACGGTGGTGGTGGTGTAGCGGTGGCAGCGGTGGTGGTAGTGGCAGCGGTCTTAACAGCGGCAACGGTGGTGGTAGTGGTAGTGGTGGCAGCGGTGTTAACAGCGGCGGTACTAGTGTGGTAACGGTGGTGGCAATGCTTAACAGCAGCAGTAACGGTGGCGGCTGATGAGTGGTGGTGGTGGTAGTGGCAGTGGCGACCGGTGCTTAACAGAAACGGCAAGCCGCAGGCGGTGGTGGTTAATAATAGTGGTAACAGTGGCAGCGGTAGTGGTGGTAGTAGTGGTAGTAGCGGTAGCAGCGGTGGTAGTAGTAGTGGTAGCGGCATCGGTAGTAGTGGTAGTAGTAGTAGTGAGTGGTAGCAGTGGCAGCGGTGGTGGTGGTGGTAGTGTAGCAGCAGTGGCAGCGGTTCTTAACAGCGGCAGCAGCGGTAATAGTAGTAGTGAGTAGTGTAGTAGCAGTAGCAATTGGTGCTTAACAGCAGCAGCCAGCGGTAGTAGTGTAGTAGTGGTAGTGGCTGCGGCAGCGGTCTTAACACTAGCACCAGCAGTGGCAGCAACGGTATGGTAGTGAGTGGTGGTGGCAGTGGTGGCAGCGGTGGTAGTGGTGGTGGCGGTAACGGCGGTGGTGGTGGTGAGTGAGTGGTGGTGGTGGCGGTGGTGGTGGTGGAAAGTGGCGGTGGCAGCGGTGGTGGTGGTGTGGTGGTATCGAGGTGGCAGCGGTGGTGGTTAATGTAGTAGTAGCAAGTGGCGGCGGTGGTAGTGGTGATGGTGGCAGCGAGTGCTTGAAGCAACGGTGGTAGTGGTAATGGTGGTAAGCGGTGGCGAGCAGTGGTGGTAGTAGTAGTGAGTAGCGGTAACGAGCGGTAGTGAGTAGTGGTAGTAGTGGTGGAGTAGTAGTGTAGTGGTGGTAACTTGGCAGTAGTGGTAGAGGTGGCAGTAGCAGCGGTAGCGGTAGTGTGGTGGTATCGGTGGCAGCGAGTAGTGGTTATTAGTGGTGGCAGTGGCAGCGGTAGTAGTTGTAGTAAGTAGTGGTAGCAGCAGTGCTTAGCACCAGCACCAGCAGCGAGTAATAGTAGTAGTGGTAGTGGCAGTGGCAAGTGGCAGTGGTAATTAGTAGCAGCAGCAGCAGCGGTCGGTAAGTAGTAGCAGCGGTAGCTGCAGCACTAGCACCAACAGTAGCAGGAGAAGTAGTGGTAGTGGTAGTAGTAGTAGTAGTGGTAGTAGTATTAGCAGTGGCAACGGTCAGTAGTAGTAGCGGCAGTGTTAACAGCAGCAGCAGCAGTAGTAGTAGTAGTAGTGGCAGCGGCCCAACAGCAGCAGTGGTAGTAGTAGTGGTAGTAGCGGTGTAGCAATGCCCAACAGCAGCGGTAGTGGTAGCAGCAGTAGTAGTAGTGGTAGCAGCAGTGCCCAAAAGCAGCAGTAGTAGTAGTAATAGTAGTAGCAGTAGCAGCAGTAGTAGTAGTAGTAGTAGTAGCAGTAACAGCAGTAGTAGTAGTAGTAGCAGCAGCAGTAGTAGTAGTATTAGTAGTAGTAGTAGTAGTAGTAGTAGTAGTAGTAGCAGTAGTAGTAGTAGTAGTAGCAGCAGTGCCCAACAGCAGCAGCAGTAGTAGTAGTAGTAGTAGTAATAGTAGTAGTAGTAGTAGCAGTAGCAGCAGTAGCAGCAGTAGTAGTAGTAGCAGCACTGCCCAGCAGCAGCAGCAGTAGTAGTAGTAGCAGCAGCAGTGCCCAGCACTAGCACCAGCAGTAGCAGCAGCAGTAGTAGTAGTAGCAGCGGTGCCCAACAGCAGCAGCAGTAGGAGTAGTAGTAGCAGCAGCAGTAGTAGTAGTAGCAGTAGTAGCGGTGCCCAGCAGCAGCAGCAGTAGTAGTAGTAGCAGTAGTAGTAGCAGCAGCAGCAGTGCCCAGCACCAGCAGCAGCAGCAGTAGAAGTAGTAGTAGCAGTGCCAAACAGCAGTAGTAGCAGCAGCAGCAGCAGTAGTAGTAGTAGCAGCAGTAGTAGTAGCAGTAGTAGTAGTAGCAGCAGTGCCCAACAGCAGCAGCAGTAGTAGCAGCAGCAGCATTAGTAGTAGTAGTAGTAGTAGCAGTAGTAGTATTGGCAGTGGCAGTGGTAGTAGTAGCAGCAGTAGTAGTAGTAGCAGTGGCAGTGGTAGTAGTATAATCATACAACTTAATTTAACTTACGGCTTTGTCATTTGAATGTCTTTGGTTCGATACAAAGGTGACCGGTCGTGTGGCATCCAGGCTCCTCGTGTGACCAATAACTGACCTAGCCAGAAAACAAATATTTAAAACAGAAAAACGTAATGTTGGATTTACATTCATAGCTAACATTCAGCACTTTCTGCACGATCACACGTACGTTCATTACGCTGATACTTGGTTAACGTCTTCAAAGAAGAAGATCGCCCATTTCATCGTTTAATCTTTCTAAATTAATTCATGGGTATTCAAGTGCTCTGGACCCACACGTACATAACGATCATGGAGTTACAACCGTCACTATTAGAGATGTGGTGAGCGAGTGAGTGAGTGAGTTGAGTTTTACAATATTCCAGCAACATCACGGCGGGGGACACCAGAAATGGGCTTCACACATTGTACCCATGTTGGGAATCGAACGCTGTAACCACCACTAGTCTGCCCTACCGCCCCAATGTGTACAGTACACATATGGCACTATACCGACTTGTATCGATACACTGTTACTGCAGTTTCGCAGTTTACAGCTTATCAGCGTGACAAATTTAGCCAGCTCTGTAACTCATTTCAATTAAAACTGATCCAGTTAATGTTAACACACACACAAGGACGTTTTAAGGCGACCCCATGGCCCCAGTAGAGCCAGTTAATGTTAACACACACACAAGGACGTTTTAAGGCTACCCCATGGCCCCAGTAGAGCCAGTTAATGTTAACAAACACACAAGGACGTTTTAAGGCTACCCCATGGCCCCAGTAGAGCCAGTTAATGTTAACACACACACAAGGACGTTTTAATGCTACCCCATCGCCCCAGTAGATCCAGTTATTGTTAACACACACACAAGGACGTTTTAAGGCGACCCCATGGCCCCAGTAGAGCCAGTTAATGTTAACACACACACAAGGACGTTTTAAGGCTACCCAATGGCCCCAGTAGAGCCAGTTAATGTTAACACACACACAAGGACGTTTTAATGCTACCCCATCACCCCAATAGAGCCAGTTAATGTTAACACACAAACAAGGACGTTTTAAGGCTACCCCATGGCCCCAGTAGAGCCAGTTAATGTTAACACACACACAAGGACGTTTTAAGGCTACCCCATGGCCCCAGTAGAGCCAGTTAATGTTAACACACACACAAGGACGTTTTAAGGCTACCCCATGGCCCCAGTAGAGCCAGTTAATGTTAACACACACACAAGGACGATTTAAGGCGACCCCATGGCCCCAGTAGAGCCAGTTAATGTTAACACACACACAAGGACGTTTTAAGGCTACCCCATGGCCCCAGTAGAGCCAGTTAATGTTAACACACACACAAGGACGTTTTAATGCTACCCAATCGCCCCAGTAGATCCAGTTATTGTTAACACACACACAAGGACGTTTTAAGGCGACCCCATGGCCCCAGTAGAGCCAGTTAATGTTAACAAACACACAAGGACGTTTTAAGGCTACCCAATGGCCCCAGTAGAGCCAGTTAATGTTAACACACACACAAGGACGTTTTAATGCTACCCCATCACCCCAATAGAGCCAGTTATTGTTAACACACAAACAAGGACGTTTTAAGGCTACCCCATCGCCCCAGTAGATCCAGTTAATGTTAACACACACACACGGACGTTTTAAGGCTACCCCGTGGCCCCAGTAGAGCCAGTTAATGTTAACACACACACAAGGACGTTTTAAGGCTACCCCATGGCCCCAGTAGAGCCAGTTAATGTTAACACACACACAAGGACGTTTTACGGCTACCCCATGGTCCCAGTAGAGCCAGTTAATGTTAACACACACACAAGGACATTTTAATGCTACCCCATCGCCCCAGTAGAGTTGTAATTGAGGTCACCTTATATTTAGGTTCTGATCCGAAGTGAATTCACATTTCAAAGAAATAGCGATTTTCTTGATATTTTCATGATGTCTTCATACTCCAGTTGTGTCGATTGGTGATCATGATGTCAATCACTGGATTGTCTGATCCAGAAGCCATTATTTACCCAACGCCGTCATATATTGCTTACTTGCTGAGTGCGGCGTTATACGTCAAACTAACTATAGTCTGTTTGCAGTGAAAACGTACCGATGAATTTCACTTTAAACAAAAACGTAAATCAAATAAAGTGAAATTAGAAGTACGAATCCTCATGATTTTACCTTGCCAATTGAACATTTAAATCTCAGAATGTTATTCAACTTAGGATAAAAGTTGTTTAACAAACGATCATAGTTTCAATCGCTATTGTTGGTTTGAATAAAATTCTGAAATTTATATTTTTAATTGGCAAGGTAAAATTATGAGGATTCGCAATCTTAATTTTACTTTATTTGATTTACTTTTTTGTTTCAAGTGAAATTCAACGGTACGTTTTCACTGCAAACAGACTATAACTAGCTAACACAGTACAGAGTATACATTCATCTCACTTGAAGTATGCCTCCGATATAGCTTTGTCAGTCCTGGGCTCGTTGGCGACAGACCACATGAACACCGAGGGCCTGTTTTTGTCTCTCTGCACCAGCTCGGTCATCACGTCAAGGTGATGCGTCAACGAAATGTTGCTGAAGTTTTCATTTCTGGAACACACAATTACTGGCCAAACGCGACCTCAGGAAACACACAGTATACGTCAGGTTACACCCAGATGTGTTCCCTTGACTTCTATAGTTACTTTATATATTTTAACAAATATTTAAATATTCAACAGTCAATCAACATATGCATGCAAAGTCTTGCATGGTTCAACTAATACATATTGACATAATTCAATGGAAATTTGACTGCTTACGCCAATGTATACTATCCAAAAAAGAAACGCATATGCCAGAAATCTGAAGCGAAAATGATGTATTTTCTAACATGTATAACTCGTCCACAAATAGACTTTAGTACTTTTGTACTTGAATCTTTACATCTTTACAGTTTAGAAGAAGGAAATGTCCATACAACCAATTGGATAATTTTAGATAACGGAGATGTTGAGCGCGATGGTGGGTCTCCTGGCTCTCAGTCCAATCTCTCTCAACCTGTTCCGTACAGTTTGGCCGGATATCCTCCGAAGTTCAGGCACCACAATGGCTGCTGTGCTCTCACCCGTGGCAGTACGATCACGCAAATGTAGTACCCGGATGTACCGATCTTGGGCTGCAGTGAAGACTCGATGTCTGCCTTTAAGGGGACGGTCATTTGTTATACCTGTTTGGTTGTAACGAGCTGCAAGCCGTGATATCGTGCTCAGACTAACATTCAGACGCCTGGCAACAGAAGATTGGTAACAGCGTGCATTCTTTCAATGGCGATGTTCCGTGTCTCAGCGTAAAGACGTGACGTAGTGATTTGTCCTTGAAACTCCTTCAAAACAAATGCCGATTTCCGAAAGTAATCTGGATTTTTATAGCCAGACAGTGCATGCTCTTTGCGGCACAATTTCAACTGGACGATGATTTTTGTTGCGTTGTGGCGACGCCTTTTAATCCTTGTAAGAAATCTCATCAAAAACAACATTTTTAGGTAAAGTCGATTTTTTTACTTGTTCAATTGTGTAAAATCATGTTATCAACACTTTTGTTGCATATGTTGATGATTGTTTGAACACAATACGTAATTAATAGATTTTTCAAAAATACAAAACACCTATGCGTTTCTATTTTGGGATAGTATACTTTCCACTTACAGGTGGCTAAAAAATACAACCTTAGCTCTATATAAAATGATAGGTTAAAATATGTTTGCTCACATTCAGCATAGTAATGCTGTTAACAGACTAAAGGATTACATATTACTGACTGGCTGAGTTTTGGTTTTACGCCGCTTTTAGCAATATTCCAGCAATATCACGGCGGGGGACACCAGAAATGGGCTTCACTCATTGTACCCATGTGGGGATTCGAACCCGGGTCTTCGGCGTGACGGGCCAACGCTTTAACCACTAGACTACCCCACCGCCCCGAAATACATATTAAAGAAGCACGGGTACTTTCGGTTACTGAATGGACGTACTGAGGGATCGAATCCCGGGTGGGACTCAACTCAAAAATCGAAAGTTTATTCGTTCTTTAGTAAGAACGTGTTATGCCGAATGCAGCATTTGTTAAAAAATGAAGTTGTTTTATCACCACTGGGTTTACATTGAGAACATCTGATTTAATTAAGACCTACTCATCAATCCCGACTCCCGGACTCTCGTCAATGACCATGATGCCCTGCTGGTCTGCCTGATCCATGATCTCCTCGGCGTACGGGTAGTGGGATGTCCGGAAACAGTTGACCCCCATCCATTTGAGCAGGTTGAAGTCCTTGGCGATCAGCGCATAGTCCCAGGCCTTTTCCTCTTATCTACATAAAGAAGAAATAGAAGTAGTATTAGTAGTGGCAGTAGTAGTAGTTGTAGTAGTAATAGAAGTAGTAGTCGTAGTAGTAGCAGAGGTAGTAGTAGAAGTAGTGGTAGTCGTGGTAGTAAGAGAAGTGGTAGTAGTGGAAGTAGTAGTAGTAGTAGTAGTAGTAGTAGTAGTAGTTGTTGTTGTTGTTGCAGTAGGAGTGGTAGTAGTAGTTTGTTCCTTTGTTATTTAACGCCGCACTCAGCAACATTTCATCTTTATATCGGCAGAATGTAAATAATCGACTTTGGCCCAGACAGTCTAGTGATCAACAGTATGAGCATCGCTCTACGCAATTGGGATACGATGACATGTGTCAACCATGTCAGTGAGCCTGACCACCTGATCCTGTTAGTGGCCTTTTACGACTGTCGGTGTCGTGTTGACTGAGCTATACTTACGTCGGAGTCCTCGTGTTTGGCCACGCCCTGGCAGTAGAAGGGTTTGCTGTTGACCAATATCTGGGAGTCGGTCACATGGACAGTGCGGATACCGAAAGGTAGACGATAGACGTCTGTTCCAGTCGCAGACACAAGGCTCACCTGGAACAATATTTCTCATGAATTAAAACATGAATTCGAATATAACTCAATACAGTGAAGTCCACCATTTNTTCATTTGATAAAACCATGTTTGAAAAAAATGCTTTATATTAGATGAGGTATGCCCGGGGTCAGGCCTCGATTTCTCGAAGCAAACTTAAGTCTCACTTTTGACTTAAGTTAGAGTTTTTACTCAAATTTGAGAAACGCATTTTCCAGCATGAAGTGCAATCAATATTAAACTCAAACATAGTATACAATTTGAGTTTGGTGGATAGATTACTCAAGTTGTATGAGCTTTCTTATTTTAAAAATGCAGTTGAGTTAAAAATTCAACTGTTTAAAATTGTCAAACACAGTTTGAAATTTGAGTAAAAACTTAAGTTTGTTTCGAGATATCGGGGCCAGAGCGAAAAAAGAGAAAAGGTCACGGGCAATGGTAAGAATTAGGGAAGGGATAAGGGCAATTGTGAGGGAAATGATAAGGACATTGGTAAGGATCTAGGTTGATTAATGATAAGGGATACGGCTGGCATTTAGGTAAGGGCAATGGTAAAGATTTATATAAGAGTTAGATGAAGGACAGGGCTAGCACAAGGGAGAAAACAACAGGTTAGGGTTAAGGAGATGACAAAGGTAGGGTGGGAGACAGAGCGTAAAGCAGTGGGTCAGGGTTTGAGTAAGAGCCGCGGCAAGGACGAGGGTAGCACTTACAGATTCTTTTTTGGCAAGGCCATGGGTTTCAGATAGGTCCAGAGTGAAGGTGAGAGAAAAGGAAAATGCAAGCGTGAACGTTTAGGTAAATGTTGGCAATGGTTGGGGCAATGGTTACTAAAGACTGTGACCATCTCTCGTATCAATGATCTCACTCACTCGAAGTCTCACCTTAAATAAATACAGATATGCAGGCGTGCCGGACGTCATGGTATATGGGTACCACAGATTGGGATTTGTAACCGTGATCACTCCGCTCATGCGGTCTGAGCTGCCCACTACATTCCCTGCTTTGTCCACGACGTCGACGTTGACACTGGTGACACCGGGACTGCCTCCACTTTCAACCTTGTAGTTGACCACGCCTGAGAAACAAGATATGTTTTCTTGTACGTTGTTTATGATGAGTGTAACTGATTACATTGACTAAATTTTTGTTAAATTTTGTTAATTTTTTTAAATGAGATTCCCGTCTTCTTCCATTATCTATGCTGAAGGCGTGGTTGTAAACCATCAATTACTTGATCCCTGTATCCATTAACTAAGGTCTAGCGGCGGAAAAAAACGTTCGCTTGCCACGACAAAGCGTGGGTCGACTCTGCACTTGAATTCAATTTATGAAGCTTGTTTGTGCTGTCCTATATCGTAAATACTTTTAGAATATTTCTAAATGTGACATAAACGATATACACATAAACGATTCACAGATCACAGTTAAAAAGATCATGTCTGTTTAGTATGGAATCCTAGAAGGGACATTGTCGCGTTGTCGCGTTGTCGCCCTCTTAAATACAAGCAAAATGAGGCAAAATTAACCAAAACGCGACACGCGACAACGCGACATTTCGCCCATTTGTCGCATTGTCGCGATGTCGCGTGTCGCGTTTTAGTGATTCTTGAGGCTTCTTTTTACACATCTTAGATAGGGCGACGCGCGACAACGTGACATATTTTGACCTTGAAAATTGTCGCTATGTCGCGTGTCGCCTTTTGGAGGAAAAGAAAAATATTATTCAAAACGCGACACGCGACATCGCGACAATGCGACAAATGGGTAAAATGTCGCGTTGTCGCGATGTCGCGTGTTGCGTTTTGGTTTATTTTCCCTCAATTTACTTGTTTTTGAGAGGGCGACAATGCGACATAGCGACAATGTACCTTCTCGGATTCCATAGTTTAGCGATTCCTTCTGCACAATTCTGACTTTATTATGGACATGTGATTTAGAATCACCATCGAATACATATTCGCGAGGTGAGCGTGTCTTGCCCCACAGGTGCACTCTCCTACCCAGAGTTCCATGCGGCCAGCCAGCATAGTACCTCTGCCACAGGCCAGAAAATGTGACGATTTGTCACATCTTGCAGTCCATTCAAAATATCGTACATATATCTTAGCTCTTTTATTTTAGATGAGTCTACACATCAAATTAAACATCATTGGTAGAATGGTTTAGTTTCACTGAGAAAATATCCTAAAACGTGCACCACTATTTCGATATGCGTAGCGATACTTTGTTTACATGGGTTGTACGGCTCCACGTGCTGTCATCGTGCTGTCATCGAGAGCAAACGATCCAGCCCCTTTGATAAACCTTACTGTCGCAGTTGTAGAAGATTATTTATGTAACAATGTAAAACATTATGAAGACCGCACCGAATCGCTTGCGTTGGGCCAGTATCTTCTTACTAACGAATATGCGCGTTTGTTTACAAGCAGGAGAAAAGTCCGGTCACGTGATATGCAAATTAACCTGCGGCAGTGATGCTAAGTCATCGCTGCGCCAGAGTGTGCCACAGGTTGCACCCATCCGAGGCATGTATCAGTCCTCGCGCAAACACACTAAAGACCTGGAATGTACATGTTACAGCCACCTTTTCCTGCAGCGATATCCGTGGTGATGGTGACGTCGTCGACGTATGTGTTTGGTGTCGTATAGAGTCGTACATGACGATGTATCCCCCCATAGTTGAAGAAGTCCATCTGCACATTCTGCACAAAGTAACCGGCCGGATATCTGGAACAGTGAACAATTAAGTGGTGAATTGAGCATGGGCTGTTAAATAACAAAGTAGCTCAATTCATAATTTTGAACATGATATATTTTAAATGGTACAGTGTGGTATGGTATAGTATGGTATCGTACAAATGGGCACGGCATAGCACAGTAGAATATTGATAGTAGAGCGTTGGAGAATATTAATAGCTGATTCATCAATCCGGGTGGAAATATACACCATAGTAGATCTGGAATGATTGCCTTGCTAGCTCGTTCACTCACTCATTCAACCACTCAACTGCTCACTCAACCACCAACACACTCACTCATTCAACCACTCTTTCAACCACTCATTCAACCACGTTGCATACTCATTCATTCAACCACTCTTTTACCAATCATTCAACCACTTGTATACTCATTCATTCCACCACTCTTTTACCACTCATACAACCACTCTTTCAACCACTCATTCAACCACTTGCATACCCATTCATTCCACCACTCTTTTATCACTCATACAACCACTCTTTCAACCACTCATTCAACCACTTGCATACTCATTCATTCCACCACTCTTTTACCACTCATACAACCACTCTTTCAACCACTCATTCAACCACTTGTATACTCATTCATTCCACCACTCTTTCAACCACTCATACAACCACTCTTTCAACCACTCATTCAACCACTTGCATACCCATTCATTCCACCACTCATACAACCACTCTTTCAACCACTCATTCAACCACTTGCATACTCATTCATTCCACCACTCTTTTACCACTCATACAACCACACTTTCAACCACTCATTCAACCACTTGCATACTCATTCATTCCACCACTCTTTTACCACTCATACAACCACTCTTTCAACCACTCATTCAACCACTTGCATACCCATTCATTCCACCACTCTTTTACCACTCATACAACCACTCTTTCAACCACTTGCATACCCATTCATTTCACCACTCTGTTACCACTCATACAACCACTCTTTCAACCACTCATTCAACAACTTGCATAGTCATTCATTCAACCACTCTTTTACCAATCACTCAACCACTTACATGCTCAATCATTCCACCACTCGTTCAACCATTCATTCAACCATTCACACCAACGACACTGGGAGTGTTTACCTGGATCTGTCCGTCTTGTATGTGATGGATCCAGGAGGTAGGGTGTGAGGTGTCAGGGTGTTGTTGACAGCGATCGTCACGCGGTTACTGCCGCCAAATGTGAGATAGGAGTTAATTTCCTCCTCGAAAGGCAGGTGTCCCCCGTCGTGCCGCATCACCTCCTGCGAGTTCACCCACTGTGGACAAACACAGAATAGGGTGTATCCTGCCATACACCCTCCATATGCACAACTCCCTCCATATGAACAGTTAGACAATAATATATTATGTATTTTGACCGGATAGCCTTCTATTTCCAGTACATAGATCGGACAATACAAGGTGAACGTGACAACTTACTACAATGGAGTAGTAATGGGCACTGTCAAATCTGAGGACGACCCTGTGTTTCAGCCAGTCCGAGGAGACGAAGAACTCTCTGTCATACCACACCCAGCCGACGTAGTCCCTCAGCGCCTTGTCCTGGGTGATGTCGTTGAAGCTGGAGGGCACGGGCATCGGAATCACAGGCCCTGTCTAAAAAAAAGTGAACAGGGAACTACCGGATCTTACAGCTGGGAGATGACAATGGGGTTCGCATTCCCTGTCTGAATAAAGGTGAACAAGGAACTACCGGATTTTACAGCTGGAGGATGACAATGGGGTTCGCATGCCCTGTCTGAATAAACGTGAACAAGGAACTACCGGATCTTACAGCTGGGGGATGACAATGGGGTTCGCATGCCCTGTCTAAATAAAGGTGAAGAAGGAACTACCGGATCTTACAGCTGGGGGATGACGTTAGGGGTAGCGTGACATGTCTCAGTAACGTGTACACACGAACTACCACATCCTAGGGCTAGGATGAAGGCAATGGTGGTCACAGGCCATGTTTAAATGTATTGTACAGGAACAACCACACCAGTAGCCCTGGAATGACAGGCATCGGAGTCAGAGGCTCTCTCTCAAGAAACTGTGCATACGAACTACCGAATCTTGCAGCGTGGGGATAACCGTGGAGGTCACATGCTCTGTCTCAGTAAAGTGAACACACGAACGTCTTTGGGTGGCATTTTCGAAGTTGGGGGTACAATATTGAAACAAACTTTATTGACAACAACGTCTTTTGTTTCGTGAGTGGGATGTTAATTATGTTGTTTCTTTGTTACATATTTATACACCCCCCACCCCCTCTCCATGTTACAATCCTGCTTGACAACGGTACAATAATCTGTAGTGAAACGTCACACTCACGAACTAAATGAAACCGTAATCCGTAATGTGTGTTTACTAGCACGCGAACTACCGTATCAGTAAAACATTTACTGTGTTTTTATGAATTATTATAAGACCACTTCTGCGTGTGTCTTTCTTTGTGTCTTTGTGTCTTTGTAGACTGAACTATTACTATCTTAGTTATAACTGCCTTGGACCCTATTTTCTGGGCATATTGTTGGTGTCCTTATAATCTACAGAAAAAAACGTACTTTAAAGCAGTCATTCTATAGTATGTGTGATGGAGTTGAGTTCCCAGCCATGTTGATTGTATCCGTTTGTATTGCTGCATGAACGTGTCAGTCTAATGTGGGGGATAAAACAAAACTGACGCAGATCCTAGATGTGTATACGCTTTGAGAAACACACAAGCATGGACAGGGTGCTGACAAACCTAGGATTATATGCAGAGAGTGGGATTCGAACTCATAATTATTGCGTCCTGGCATATCCAAGGGACCCATCTGTGCAGAGATAATCGTGGCCTTTTTGACAGTACGTGTCGGGCGTGAGAGGGTCACTCACACACACACAAACATCATCACTAGCAAGTAAGTGTGAGCAAAGTTCCTTTTTGCCATGTAACGAGGCTTATCCTTATATTCGCGTTAAGAGTCTGTGGTATTGTTACATCTCATTAACCCCTGAACATCCGGGTTAGAATTGGTCTTCAGCAACACATGTTTGTCGTAAGAGGCGACTTATGGGATCGGGGGGTCAGGATCGCTGATTTGGTTGACACACGTCATCATATCCCTACTGCGTAGATCGATGATCATGCTGTTGATAACTGGATTGTCTGGTCCAAACTCGATTATTTACAGGCCGCCGCCATATAGCAGGAATATTTCTTAGTTTAGTTCAAACTAAAAAACAAACAACATCTCATTAATCAGTCATATGTAATGACCTCTGTATTCAAAAGCCTCACCACGTGATCATAGCCAGTCCAAAATCCAGAACGCGTTCTTGTGATGGTTAGAAACAGAAGATGCGGTAAAATATATATCCGATAAGGAATGAATTTCTAGACTACCAAGAACAGAAGACGGAGCTTTAGAGTCCGCGGTATCTTCTATCGCCAATAGTCAACAATGCGGCAAATTGGGACACGTCTCCACTACCCATGCTTTTCTTTTGAGATGACCTGAATGTGACCGATATTGTTAGTTCACTGCTAAGTGCAACAGATTCCATGGGTTGTAAAGTGATCAAAACTCAGTTACGATGTTTATAGACTTGAAGAACGCACTTTGCAATTTATATAATATTTTTTTAAGTATTATTCCTTATCACTGGAATTACTTGTGTTTATTTTATGAGCATTAATCGTCATCAACCAAAGCCATATTCCGTGGTTCTATTTCAAGTGGCGAAAAAAACCTCGGATCGTTGTTGATGCAATTGATCACTGTTGTGGCTGAACCAGATTCGATTATTGACTGGCTGCGTAACTGGTATATTGCTCATTGTGGCGTAAAATACGATTCACTCACCCACCTTTTAACAATCCCGGTATTACCGATATAACGGTATATCTCAATACGCTTTTCAAACGATCCGTATTGCAATATTTGTCTCTGAGAACCGGTATATTGGGTGAAGAACATATATGAAGCTTTTGTGATTATCTTTATGGTTTAAATTAAAATCTACACAGGCTATCATTCACAACAAATGTTTTCCTTTGTTATCCAATAACAAAACAGCATACTGTGATACTATAAATTGTATAAAAGAGAAAGTAGAATCCCTGACTAAGCAACCTAATTTATCAGAACCTGTTATCAGAACCATAACATAATATGTTCTGAGACTTATAATGTAGAAAATAGGATTGACATGCACAATCAATATCAGTCACTGTCTGTATCATCAATCCAGGATATATATAGATAGCTACTGATTATGTATAAAAATATGATCCATTCATGAAATCTACGAATAGCATGTGAAACCGGAATTTCAGCCCTCAGGGGTTTGTTTGTTCTTGTTTAACGGTACACTATAAGTTGTTCACTGGTCTCGGGGGGGACATGGGCTAATGTACCCTCGATGTTTGTTGAACATAAAGAAACATCGAGGGTACATCAACCCATGGGCCCCGAGAGACCAGTGAACAACGTATTTATCTCACCGAACACATCAATGGTAATTTTAAACTATTTGAAGCACGGGTATCGGATCATAGTATGGAGTACCAGATGACAAGACGACAAAAAAACAAATTTAGAGTTATCTCCCTTCCATCGTTTGCATTCGCAAAACATCGGTAATTTCCGTACATCATACGTGATCCAATGTTATTCGACATAAAAAATTACTACTAAGAAGTACCAAATGAGTTCAGCATTCCCGGCGGGGTACATAGAAAATGTTACTCGCTTGTAAGCGGGGTACATTGAAAATAATAGAAGAGCGCTCAGCCAATCAGAAAACGACAAACATCGAGTGTACATCAGCCCGTGTCCCCCTCGAGACCAGTGAACAACTTAAAATATTTCAGCTATTAATTAAATGCGGCGGTCTGTAAATAACTGAGTCTGTACCAGCCAATTCAGTGATCAACGATGGCATGTGTCAATCGAGCCAGCCAGACTGGGTTTCAAGAAAACTGTTTCCAGTGAAATTGTCTTATTTCGGCAATTTCCACAATGATGAGACATTTGTACTTCAAACGTCCTTGTCATGCGTGTTAACATTGACTGGTTCAGTTCTAATTTAAATGAGATACAAAGCAGGCTAAATTTGGCACGTTGATAACATTGAAACTGCAAAACTGCAGGAACATTCAATCGATACAAATCGATATACTTGCCATGTGAGTACTGTGGGGGCGGTAAGGTAGACAGACTAGTGGTTACAGCGTTCGCTCTTCACGTCGAAGACCTGGGTTCGATTCCCCACATGGGTACAATGTGTGAAGCCAACTTCTGGTGTCCCCCTTCGTGATATTGCTGGGATTTTGCTAAAAGTAGCTTAAAACCTCACTCACTCACTCACTCACTCACTCACTCACTCATTCACTCACTCACTCACTCACTCACTCACTCACTCACTCTGTGTACACACTAGCGTCTACTTCCCCCGAGTACTCACCTGAGACAATGGCGACTTAAACCAGTTTTGGTCAAAGCCTTGTTTCCTGGAGGGTGACGAATCAGCGCGGAAGTTCCACATACCGTCCAGGTTCTTCATATCTCTACTCTCAGACTCCCGGGGATAGAGCATCCCCTTACCTGCCACCCCGAGGACAAATCCCATTAAGCACAACGCTACCCCCACCATCATGGATCAGCTCGACCTGAGGGTACAGAGTGACTGTTTGCTAGATATCCCATACCACGGTGCCCAGGCTAACTGGAAATCTGCTAAGGTGGATAGATAAGATAAGATGTGACTGACTGTAGTAATTGCTGAAATATTAAACCTATTTTCACTTGTGTTCAGATAGACAAACATAGTAAGCTACTCCAGTGTCCACTAACTTCCAGTTCTTTAAAGCCTGATGGTTACAGCGTCCGCTCGTCACGCCGAAGACCCGGGTTCGAATCCCCAAATGGATACAATATGTGAAGCCCATTTCTGGTGTCCACGGCGTGATATTGCTGGAATATTGCCAAAAGCGGCCACAAGAACTGACATATTCTATGCGTGACTGTTGGTGTGTTAGTATGTATTTACGCCGCTTTCACCAACATACCAGCAATACTACGGCTCCAGAAATTCACCCATTATTCTCTTGTTTACCTATCCTCCAAGTAGTAGTAGTAGTAGTAGTAGTAGTAGTAGTAGTAGTAGTTTACAAGTGGTGTTGGTGGTGGTAGTGGTTGCGGTGATGCTGATGATAGTGATAGTTGTTGTAGTGGTCATCGTAAAACTAAACTCACTCACGCTTATATATTTTACAGAAAAGAAACACATTTCAACAAATGAACCATTTTTTTTTATTAAGAACGTAATTATACATAATGATTACTCGTACACATGGGATAAGGCACAGTTTTGATTGCAAATAACAAACATATCCTGAACACTATGTATAAACATGTAAAGTTTATGTAGGAAAGCTAGTACTAACAGTTGATGAACACATATGGATGATGTCTTTAGGGAGATTACTGTGTGGCGCTGAATCCAAAGACGAAAGTGAGACAGGAGACACTAATTACAATGTAATTGTTTTCCATAGAATCATCCCGTCATGGTAACTGTGTAACCCTAATGATGGTGAAGGTAAGTATCATCTTATCTTGTATTTTGTATATATTCCTTGTTTACAATAATGCACATGTCAGTTGCATTTTGTGGAAACATAAACACTTTTCTATTATTGTTGAAAATGTTTTGAATGTTCAAATACATTGGTTTTAAGAAACGAGGCCTCGTCTTTGTATCCCGCAAAGCTGTACGCAAAATATAAATGAATCATCCGTAACTGACTGTTTCCTGTTCTGTGGAGAACCGGGTTTGGAATTTCCCATGGAAACTTGATACTTTTCTGCTACAGATGCAAAACCTCATATCTTAATAGAATAATGAACCTGTTTACTTTTCAAACAATGACTTACAACATTTTTTGTGAGAGACAATTGTTTCTTCCATACTTTGGTAGATTTTATTTTTTCGATAAAATAACAGACACCCTAAACATTTCCTTTATCATTTAACCTCATTTTTACATAGCATTCAATCAGTTCAATTAGCGTGCATTTAATAAAAGATACTATGATTGATATATAATATATCATTTTCATTATTGAATTTTTCCATTACTCATTTCAAATATATCATATGTTATACATCAAATATGTAAATATATCCATCCAATATATCAATATATTTCTAGAATAGTAGTGTTCAACAAAAGGTAAATGAAAAATACATGCTACATTTACTGAGTGCTGAATCGTTTTTCCGGGTACATCATAGCACGCTCATATATATGGAATATATTAAGTTTCTACCCTTAAGCATAACTGAAGCTACATACACATATTATGTTAAATACGGATACAATACTTAATTGGTAGTTATTGCAAACTGTTTGACACATTAACAGTCTTCCAAGATGTAATCCGGGATGTCCTCAATGTGAAGGTTGTATAGGACATGATCTTCACATACCTGGTCGATGTCCTTCCCTACATGTCCTCAGGGTGAGGCAGTTCTCCTTCACGGGCCAAGACCATAACAGACGATGTCCTCCTGTAGCCATCATCATAGTGAACCAGATCCCTGTCTAGGCTGAGATCCTCACAGACTTGGTAGTTGTCTTCCCCATGATGTCCTCAAGATGGACCTCCAGGGTGTCACCAGCTCGAGCTCCGTGTATTTGGTGGCTTCGTCTCTCTGTGTCAGCCCCTGAAGCAATCTGTGTGCCGTTCCGGACGATGCTGTAGTGGAACTGCGGTGTGGACGACGCTGGAACCTGCCACTCCACAAGATCCGGCTTAGCCTTGGTGATGCTGAAGCTGATGGGAGGGTCGGAAGGAGAAGCATTGTGGCTTGGTAGTTCCAAGTTTGCGTGAATTCAATCCCTGGTGATGTATGGACGTGGCCTCCGCTGGCCATGTAGTAAGTAGTCTTTCCCGACCCCGGCGTCAAAATTGTTGGCGTGGTCGTGAGTAGACGCCTCACCACGACACTGAAGGTCGACTTGGTGAATGGAAACCAGCTGCCGCCATCTTTCCTCTTGAAACCCTGACGGTAGTGACCTTTTCGTGCGTTCTGACCAGTCCTGCCCAGTCTTCTAAGAAAAGGCTGGTGTCTGAATTAAACCTGACCTGCTTGACCGGGAAGTCCATGGTGACCATGTGGGTCCAATGGTGACCTGTTTGGTCATGGATCCAGAAGCCAAAGAAGGTATGATTATTGACGTCCCAAACTCTTGACACCAAGGTGTACCATTGATCCGGCTTCCAGCCGATGGAGAAGTTCATGGATCTGAGTCAGTACCCTCTCCACCGAAGTTGGCGGTCTCAGTCCACAGTCCCTTGTAGGCTGCTTTGATGGGAACGTTCTTCGTTTGCTTGGGGTCCCAAATTGAGTAGATGAAAGCTTTTCCCCTGGGGTGATCCTGAAGTCCACAGTACCCTCCACCCTCCATTCCGGCATTCCAGCTCAACGTGCAGTAGTATGTATCTAGTACGAAGCCATCTTTCGGGACAAAGACCTCGTTGCGGATGATGTCGCCAGGGAACGAATCTTTGTAGTGCATCCAGACGGAGGGAGCGCGAGCCATTCTGAAACTGTAGGAATAAAAACGAGATGTATGTGTGATCTGGATTATGTCGTTGATGCTTTGTAGTGCGTTAAGGGTGCAATATTGCAACGGTGTCAACATGGTGACATAACAGTAGTATCATGAATCCTGTACTGATGTTAAGATGCAATATATTTCATTTAATGTACACTGGGTCTGGTACAACACATAACAGCTGGACGTGTCATCTCCTGGGGTATTTTCAACTGCTACTATCGAGACGGAGACACGAGAGACGACAAGGAGAGCGACAGACAGGCAGAGAGACAAAGAGAGAAGGGTGGAGAGAGATGGAGCGTGACGCACAGGCAGAGCGAGAGACGGGCAGAGTGACACACAGAGAAAGAAAGAGAGAGTTGGGATTGAGCCACAGAACGAAATGAGAGACAGGAAGACACGGAAAGAGAGATAAGGAGAGTAATAAACACACAGACAACCCAGCTAACACACAATGTTTTCACAACGTTGTGGGAAGGTTGTAGGCTGGTAACGTCATGACACAACATTGTCACAGCATTAGTATTACGTCATATTATACCGTTATGTCACAACGTAATAACAACGTTGCAAATTTACGTTGAGGAAACGTTATGCTTTAGGCTCCCTACAACGTTAAAACAGCGTGACTTACAACTTGTCACGATAGAGTTTTCTGTAGAACATTTCGCTTTGAGATTCTTTCTTCGCTATTCAGCTACAGCTCCAGAAAACACTCGACCAAAACAACACACAAATTGACGAATAAACACTGAAGTAAAATGTACTGTTCACTACTGGGAAAACTATTCAACTATTAACGTTAAATAGAACGTTAAGACAACGTAAAATACCCTAGCATCAAATAACCTTTCCCTGTGGCTACGTAAAATGTCCATAGAATAACGTTGTAACAACGAAAGCATAACGTTGTGACAACGTGAAATTGTCAGCTGGGAAGAGACACAGAGATATATATATATATATATAGAGAGAGAGAGAGACTGGACAAAAGAGAGACAGAACGATATGGGTAAAGGTGAGAGAGAAGAAGCGATAAAGAGAGATAGAGATGACAGAGAGTGAGAGAGAGGGTAGACAGTGCGAGAGGATAGACAGAAAGTGTGAGAGATTATAATGACAGAGGATAGAGAGCGTGAGAGGATAGACAGAAAGTGTGAGAGATTATAAAGAGAGTGGATAAAGAGCGTGAGAGGGTAGACAGAAAGTGTGAGAGATTATAAAGAGAGAGGATAGAGAGCGTGAGAGGATAGACAGAAAGTGTGAGAGACAACATGTACCATAATCAGACAACCACAAGCTTATCCTGCAAACATATACCTTACCTGGTCCGCTGTATATCTAGTACCCCAAAACTGTTCTTGATGGCACCAAGAGGTACAAACTGACTGCTACACAACTGACATCTACATTTATAGACCCCGAAATGTCTTGGCCAGAGCGATATGACAGAATCATATTTAATATCGGCCAATCGCAATTGCCATACGTTAATCCCTGGTCAGCGACTAATTTGTTGACACTATCAGAGATAACATGATATGACAAATAAGCTTTGAATACAGATATTTGTCCAAATTCCCATCACGAGTCAATTAACCTACTTTAGAACACGCTTGTCTTACGACTTCATCTACAAGGGTTCTCGTACAATTCAACTAATCGTCTCCCAGTGTAAATGGAAAAGACTTCAAACAGACTCTATCAATGTCTAAAAGAACATTTAACTTAGCCGAAAAATATTGCTTCTGGTTGGTTACCTGGATTTGAAAAGCTTCACCAGATATTTTTTCCTTTTTAAACATAATTCTGGGAATTTTGCTGTTAATGTTTGCGTTTAGGTTTGATTTTGCTATTTGCTGAAATTTTTATATAAACTGTGAAAGAAAAGGAATCGATATATTGGAAGTTGTGGTATATGGATCGATGTTCACGGGATGAATATCATTATTTTGCTCGTTTGTTCAACTGTTGTTGCCATTAGAATAACATTATTTCCAGAGACATGCTCCACTAA